CATTACTTTTATAATTTAATAAGAGATTATAGTTTTGAAAAGTATTATATTTTGTCACATGGCAATAGAAATTTCAAAAGTAGGAAGAATGCTTTGAATTTGCTCTGTGACATTGGCAAATCACTTAACTTTATAAAGCCCATTTCTTTATTTGAAAAATTAAAATAAAAAAAAGTACCCTCTGACACTGTAAAAGTTTTACATGATGAAAAACAGTATGAAAATATTTTCAAAATATCAGGACTTTAGGAATCACACAGAACTAAATTGTACTGTTAAGTCCTCAATTATGGTCTCTGTGAGAAGAATGTTCAACCCTTCTTTGTTCTTCTGAGTTACATTACCTAGTTCATATTCCCCTTTTCCCTCAACTGTCTGCTCTCTGTGTGGGGGGATATAGTGAATATATAATATTGATATATTATTTCCTAAAAGGAAAGAAACTGAAATTATATTTTTTAAAAATGTGTTTAATAATTTTGATATAGCTGAAACTAAGTTTTCTGTCACTATTGATTATGAACAAATGACCCTTGTTAATGGTAGCTATCTCTGAGGTTAAAATTACACACATCTTAGTTTCCATTTAATGTGTTTCTCAGCTGTTTTAATTACATTAAAATAGACATGATTTGCTTTTACATTCTGAGAGAAAATATAATTCAAAAGCTAGAATTCTGAATTAGGTGAACACTTATTTAGAAAAAGATTAGCTTATCTGACTCATCAACAAGTTATGCAGATGACACAACCCTGTTTGCTGAAACTGAGGAAGACCTGAAGAGCTTGCTGCAGAAGGTCAAGGAATGCAGCCTTCAATATGGATTGAAGCTCAACATCAAGAAAACAAAGATTCTCACCACTGGGCTGCTTGGCAGCATCATGATCGATGATGAATAGATTGAGATTGTTCACAGCTTCAGTTTGCTTGGCTCTACAATCAACACTCTTGGGACCAGCAGCCATGAAATTAAAAGACAAATTTCATGGGGAAAGTCTGCTGTCAGAGACCTCTCCAAAGTACTGAAGAACAACGATATCAGTCTGGAAACTAAGGTGCGCCTGCATGGTCTTTGCAATTACTTGCTATGCATCAGAGAGCTGGACAATGACTAGGGATGATAGAATGAGAGCTTATGTCTTTGTACTGTGGTGCTGGAGAAGAATATTGAATGGACTACTAGGAGAACAAACAGGTTCATCCTGGAGAGGGTGAAGCCAGGTTACTTCTTGGAGACGGGGATTCTGAAGCTTTATTTGACACACTTTGAACATGTTGCAAGGTGGACTCAGTCATTGGAGAGGGACGTCATGCTTGGGAGGGTAGAAGGACATCACAGGAGAGGAAGACCCTCGATGAGATGGATTGATTCAGTCACTGGGGAAATGGGGGTAGGTATGTCAGAGACAACAAGACTGTTAAGGGATAGAGCAGTGTTTAGGGCTGCTGTACATAGGGTTGCTATGAGTCACAAAGAACTCGAAGGCATATAACAACAAGAAGCTTATCTGCAAAATTTCAGCAAGTAACATAAATCACATAATGATGCTACTTTCAGAGTTGATTTGGTAATTTATTAGTCTGTTCTGTATTTCCCTTTTCCCTTTTTCTACAGGTACTGTTTTGCTCTCTGTGGTTGTTTTTCCCTCTGAAGATTTCTTTGTTGGCTCTTACCATGTAATTAACAGCATAACTAAGAAGGAGCAGAAGGAATTGTTTTACTTAGCTTTGTTGACCATCTGCCTCGGCACAGGAGGGATAAGAGCCATGGTTTGTCCACTGGGTGCTTACCGTCTCCAGGAGAAAGGATTGAAGTTACAAATGTCATTTTTTAACTGGTAGGTAACACTGAACCAGGTTTCTGACATTCTCTCCACTCATCACCTTTCCTTCCTTCTTTTAAAACACAATCTTCTTTGGAGTTTTATCATCATTTACTTTTTAGTCTCATTTTAATGATAGTCATTCAGTTTTTTAATTGTTTGGCCTTGGTAAATTACAGTGACAATTTCTGTTATAATTATTCAGTCAGTTATGATTGGAGCATAAGAGTCAAGAACAAATCCATAGAGCTTACTAGAACCTTTCCTGATCTTTGACATATTTACACTCCACCAAAACAGGTATGAAGTGACTTTCATGCCGAATAGAATGTGATGAACCAAACAAGGCTGGTAGATGTCTCTACCTGGCAAAAGCGCCTGATCTTGATCAAGTAATTCATTCTCTGTAAGTAGTAGTGTATTCATCTATAAAGAGGATAATGAAAACCTTTTCTTAAATTTTACTACAGGCAATGATTTATACTTGTAGCTGGCAGAGAACTTGACCCATTGTAGTCAATAATCAGTAAATGGTGGTTGTTCGGTGCCCACAAATTAAGTACGACTCATAACAACCCTCTAAACAACCGATCTGAAACTTGCCTTATTCTGAGTCATTCTCAACATCTCTGAAGTACTCAAGGCCGCTGAAGTCACTGTGTCAATCCATCTCATTGGGGGTCTTTTGCTCCTTCGCTACCCTCCCCCCATCTTTTCAAGCATGATTGTCCCTTTCCAAGAAATAGCCTCATCTAGCTACATGTCCAAAGTATGAAAAACAAAGCTTCACCTTTTTTGCCTCCAAGGAGCACTCCAGCTGCACCTTCTGCAAGACATTATCTGTTTGTTCTCTTGGCAGTCCATGGAATAGACAGTATTCTTTTGCTATACCACACTCAAAGGTATCAATTCTTCTTCCTTCTTTGTCCAGATCTCTAATATATAGCAGGTGATTGAGAAGACCATGGCCTGAATTAGGCACACCTTAATCTTCAAATTGACACCATTGCTTTTCAGCATTCTGGAGAGGTCACAATGCAATGAATACCCTAATTTCCTGACTGCTGATATCAAGTTTGTTGATCCAAGGAAGATCGGTTGATTGTTGATCAGGAAATCATTGACAGTTCCAATTCTTTACCCATCTATCATAATGTTGACTTGGTCCTGTGGTGATGATCTGTATTTTCTTGATGTTGAGATGTAGTCTATACCAAAGGTTGTAGTCTTTTTTCTTCTGCAAGTGCTTCAAGTCTTTCTCACTTTCAGCAAGCAAGGTTATTTTATATGCAAAATAATAGGTTACTGATGAATCTTGCTCCTATCCAAATGCCACATTCTTCCTCATAGAGTCTGGGTTCTCAAATTATTTGTCCAGCATACAGATTGAATAAGTATGGAGAGAGGATACAACCCTGATACATTCCTTTCTTAATTGCAAACTATGCAGTGTTTTCTTATATACTATTTGCACCACAATCTCTAGGTTTCACATGAGCACAATTAAGTGTTCTGGAATTCTCATTCTTCTCAATGTTAGCTATAATTATTTTGATCCACACAGTCAAATGACTTTGCATAGTCAATAAATCAAAAATAGACATTCTTTGGTATTCTTTACATTCAATCGGGATCCATCTGACATAAGCAATGATGTCCCTGGTGCCACAACCTCTTCTAAATCCTGCTTGAACTTCTGACAGTTTTCTGTGTACTGTTCTAGCCATTTTTGAATAATCTTCAGAAATATTTTTCTTTCATGTCATATTAATGATATTGTTTAATAATTTCCACATTCTGTTGGATCACTTTTCTTGTAAATGGAGACAGCTGTAGTTATTATGTCTATCTTGTATAGACTAATTTATAAGGGATTATAAATTCACAAGCTAGTTCTGAAAGAAGAGAAGTATGAAAGAAGTATTTTACAATTTACTAAAGTTTCATTCTGTACTCTTTTTTTCCTCACTCACTTTATCCCCAATATAAAAAAGCATGTTCCAAGTAAACAAAACTTTCCTTCTCTGAATCTTTAACTTACACGAGTTCCGATATGTGAGTTTTAAAGAAGCCAATTTCTACTGATAATAGAAACCAAGAAAAATGACATGAAACTTTTATTTAAGAGGAAAGTAATTCAACAGTTGGAATTTCTTTGTTGTTGTTACTAATCAAAGAGAGTTAACTAGATCTTCAATACTGTGGTGCAGCTGATTATTTTATATGGCTTAGAAATTTGTTTTTACTTTCATCATATTAGGAAGAGCTACAGAAATGTAGGGTGTTTGTAGCCCAAAAAGGGATCTGTTAGTGTCTAGAGAGCATGAAATAAGACATGGGAGGACAGGACCATGTGTGTCTCTCTGAAAAGGTCAGAGAGAATGAGAATAGCACAACCTCTCACTGTCCCAGAGCAGAAAGCAGATAAAGAGCCCATAGCCCAATCCCTTGGAGCCTCTAGATCCACACCTATATCAAGAGTTTCATTTATTTGTTGTTGACTCACAGACTCGCAGTTGGGGTATTAAGAATGAGGTATATTAGACAAGTAAGTTTGAGACTGGATGAGGCAAAGAATATTACCCAATGCAAATTCAAGTTTAGTCCAGAAGTCTCAAGGCACAACTCCTCACTTAGTCTACACTCTAGTTTTAGTTCATCAGTGAAATTAAAATTATCTAGCAAGGTTTGCCTCAGAGTAGTTATAAGTCACTTCTCCTTCAAGCATCCGGTAAAAAGAACAAAATCTTTAACTGTGATCAGCAAAAATGTAGGAAGCCTCAGGTCACATTTTCCCAGTTTCTCCACAGCAATGTCACAGTCTCTCTACTACCATTACCAGTGTCTCTCCACCAGGATCTCACTTTCAATCAGGTCTTGATCCAGTCTCCTTCAAGTCTTGCTCAACAAATTTATTGCTGTCACAGTCTTGCTACTCAGTACGGGAAGGATTCTTTCTCTTATCCTGGTTCCACAGCTTTTGATAATTTGCAAGACCATGTGTCTGCAGTTAAGGTAGCTGGAGACCAGAAGATACTTAATGTAATGGCTAAGAAAAGCCAACTTTTAGGCTAATACTGCAGATGTTGTTGTGGTTGTTGTGTTGTTATGTGCCATAAAGTTGCTTGTAACCCATAACTACCCTATGTACAGCAGATCTTTAACTCTGCTCTATCCTGTGCCAACCTCATTGTCTTTGACACACCTACCCCCATTACCCTAGTCACTGAGTTAATCCATCTCATTGAGGGCCTTTCTCTTTTGCACTGTCCCTCTACCCTCCCAAGCATGACGTCCCTCTCCAAGGACTAGTCCCTCCTTGCATCTGGCCCAAAATATGTTAGATGAAACTTAAAAATCCTTGTATCTGAGGGGCAGCCTGGTTTCACCCTCTCCAGGACAAACCTATTGTTGTCCTAGTAGTCCATGATATATTCAATGCTTTTTTCCAGCACCACAAATCAAGGGAATCCATTCTTCTTCTGTCATCCTTATCCATTCTCCAGCTCTGTGATGCACACCAAGTAATTGGGAAGACCATGGCCTGGATCGGTTTGCAAATAACATAGAAAAGTTATATAGCACCTTTTTATTATTATGTTGTTGTTGTTGTGTACCGTAAAGTCGAAACCAACCCATAGCTAACACTCCAGTGGATTTTCAGGGGCAGTTAATTGCAAGGAGCAGATTATTTTTCCTTCCCCCATGAGTAACCAGTTGGTAACCTCGAATCACATGCCTTCAGGATTACAATGCAGCTTCTTGCCACTAGGCCACCAGAGCTTTTGCATTATTGATTTGGAATCAACTAACAGTGGACCTTTCTTTGGCTTGACAGTCCAACATTTTATTCACTAGGCCACCAAAGTCACCTTTTTTTGAAGGGAGCTGGTTTTACAGAAGCTGTTGGCAGGAATTGGTGAGCTGTAGGGTGAAATGTTGATTCACTAAGGGAAGTGAGGTGATGTGATAAGGCCTCCTATGTAAAAATCCTTTTTGGTAGTCAGCATAGCACTGGAGACCACTATGAGAGTCATCTACAGGAGCTGGTTCTATAGAAGCTTTGGCTGGGATTGCTAAGTGGTAGGGTGGAATGTTGATTCTCTAAGGGAAGTGAGGTGATGTGATAAGGCCTTCTATTAAAAAACCCATTAGGGCCCTTGGGAGGGGTGCAGTGTTTGGTGGAGCTTCCCAATTAAAACAAGCTTGGAAGCAGGAGTGGCAACCACTTCTGAAATGGCTTGCCTCCAAAAACTCTATGAACAGTGCTCAGGTCTTTTATTCATAGGGTCGCTGTAAGTCGTCTAAGACTCGATGGCACTTAACAACAACAACATCATGTAAATAAGATGTTTAGACTACTAATGAGGTGTTGGTCAGTTTTGCCATCCAAAAGGCTTAAATGGAACAGGTTCAGGGAAGAAAATAGAACAACATTACATTCTTTTGGGCCAGAAAGTACTGCGCTGGTTGAAGACTAGATTAGACATCAGCACAGTAAAAGCAGAAGGTGGCAGGGATCCAGAGACTGTTGTTAGACAGAACTGAGCTAGAATTGCCACCATACAGGGCCAAATCGACCAGAGAACCTTTGTCTCAGCTTACTGGCAGAGAGCTGGGGATGCATGCCATTATTGGCAGAACTGAGAGAGTCTTGAACACTGCCCAGGATCACAAGGAAGGATCTAATAAAAACTGAAGGTTAAAGGGAGGCCCCCTGCAAGCACAGTAGAAAAGAAATTATTTTGATTGAACAATTTTTTTCCTTAGTGTTTCTGACCTGTTACTTTTAAATTGCAACCTGTTACTTTTCTAATAAATCCCATAATTATGAGTATTGTCGGTGAATTCTGTGTGGTCAATGCCACAGATTAACAAACCTAGTATCATTGAGAACAGTAGAAGTGTCTGTGTTAAAATTGGCAGAAGAAAAAAAAAATTGGCAGAAGAAAGTATGGGAGTGTGGGGACATACCTGCCCTCACAGGAGTAGGTTTTTTTGCTGTTGATATTGTT